AACCTGGGCCTCTGTTAATCTTAAAGAATCTTAGTTGCCTCTAGAGAAAAACTTGATTCTAACCAACCTCTGTCTTCTTGCTCACAGAAAACCTGACTGAAGTCTGAAGCTCTGGATGAGCTTTGCCTGAAACCCTGCCTGCCTGCCCTAGGAAGCCAAACCTGAAGATTTCAGTCTGGACTTCACCAACTGCTCTCAAGGGAGAGCTAGAAACTCAAGTCAAGGTCTGAAACTCACAAGCCAGAAGCTAGACGCTGCTGCTGCTGAGCTCTCTGCTGAACCTACAGTCTCTGGACCCAAGCGGTTCCCTCCCTCACAAAGGATCTGTCAGAACCTCTTCAAGGGTATATTCAGAATTAACTCTCTCGACAAACCATCAGACTGCCTGGCTAATCAAACTATCCATCTCTGCAGACATCAGTGATTCCAGTCCCGGACCTGGGCCAGAACCAGTTCATGTTTTCTCTGTGAAGCCTTTCAATAAACTCTGTTAAACTTTCACTCTGCTTCCAGTGGTGTTCTGCATGTGGGTTAAGTCTCTTAAGCCAATCATGACAGGAGCAAGTTATTTACTACTCTTAACTCAAACTGGGTAAAACCATATTAAAAGGACTATAAAAACAGGAGTAAAAAATTACAGAGTTTATTCCAGATCAGGTCGTTACAGGACAGAGAAAAATGCTTGGAGCTTGCACAGCTGTGGTCTCAAAAATCACGTCTGCGAGCGTCCGGCAAAGTTTGAGCCCCAAACAAGGTCATCTCCTGCTTCTTATAGCTAATGGGTCTATGTGTTGCATCATGTTGATGTCAGTGTTGCCAACTCCTCAGTAAGGAAAGTAGCTATTGGATGTGCTATAAGTTGCTAGAAGTCGCTGAATGACGTCATTGCCTAATTTGCATAATATATATATATATATTTTTTCAACTTTTTTTTATTTAACTTCTTTTTTTTTTTCCCTTGTGGTCCACTAAGGACCTTAAAAATCATGCTAAAACATGAACATTTTTTTTTTTACATTACATTAACAATTTAAATGGGAAAAAAAGACTATAAAGAATCAAAGACAATGTGAGCAAATGGTAATTATAGTTTTTTTTTTTTTAACTAATAAGAATTCCCTGCACACATACAGGCTGTGCTTGCCTGCTCACAGAAAGAGTGGACCATGGTCATGTTGGTCAAGGCTCTCTATGGCAGGTTCAGCAACTGAGGGAGCTGACCCCAGAGTGATCAACCTGTGTCGTCAAACCCGGCGCATGCGTGCGGTTCATTTGCTGTCTGGACGCTGGGGGTAAACATGCTGTGTATCTGACTGTAGCGCTGAGAGGGACTACTGCGGAAGTGGGAGAACGGGGTTGGGACGGGGGGAGGCGCCCCACGGCAGACACCAGAAAAGTCGCTAGATTTGTCGCCAGTCACTTTTTTGAAAAAGAGTCGCTGGAGGGGTCTGAAAAGTCGCTAAATATAGCGACAAAGTCGCTGAGTTGGCAACACTGGTTGATGTTGAGCTGGCTGTATCAGAAACTGACAC